GAACAGTAGTCCTGAAATTCCTTCAGTTTAAGTATTCTCTTTGGACAGTGGGAAAAGGAACTGTATATGTTGCGGCACAGTGTCTCAATGCTTTTCGGCAATTTCTTACATTTAAGCAAAGGTAAAGTGAGTGGCATGCGCACTAGAGTGGTTCAAAAAAATTTTTTTTTGGAAATTCATAAACGCTTCCTCAAATTATTGTTATTTGTGATAAAAAAAAGAAACGTGTTTTTTTATTTTGAAAACAAAGTTTTCTTAGAGGTCGCGCTGGTCGTTTTTTTATAAAAACCCTCTGGTTCACAATTTTTTTATTTTCTTGACATGTTAAAATGCAGCTAAAAATTTGTTTTTTACAAATAATTACTCCGGTATTATTGGGGAACATTCCTTTAATTACATACCTGTCTTGGACAGTTAGAATGGGCCTAGTGCCCGAATATATGCTATCGAAAAGAGACTAGTAAAATTAAAACGTTGATACTGAACGATTCACGCATTATCATTGGTTGGAGCTTGTTCCTGGGGGGTTTCTGGGGTTGCTAATTAGGGATCTGAAGTCAGTTTTTCGAAATTCAAAATGGCGAATCCAAAATGGCGGTCAATTTTTTTAAAAAATGATTGAATTTGTTCGAAACTTGGCACTCAAGAGTTTGTGTGGTCGCCAAATACGAATCTGAAGTCAACTTTTTTAAATTCAAAATGGCGGATCCAATATGGCGATCAAATTAAAAAAAAAGTACTAAAATTAAAACGTTGATACTGAGCGATTTACGCATTGTCATGGGATGGAACTTGTTACCAGGGGGTTTTTGGGGTTGCTGATTACGAATCTGATGTCAGATTTTCACAATTCAAAATGGCGGTTAAAGGTTTCAAACAAATCCAATCATTTTTTTAAAGTTGGTCGCCATTTTGGATCCACCATTTTGAATTTTGAAAATCTGACATCATATTCGTAATCAGCAACCCCAGAAACCCACTGGAAACGTGTTTTAACCCTTGACAATGTACAAAACGTATAGTATCAACGTTTTAATTTTAGTACTTTTTTTAATTCGATCGCCATATTGTATCCGCCATTTTGAATTTAAAAAAATTGACTTCAGATTCGTAATCGGCGACCCCAAAAACTCTCGAGTGCCGTGTTTCTATCAAATCCAATAATGTAAAAAAAAAAATTTACCGCCATTTTGGATCCGCCATTTTGAATTTCGAAAAACTGACTTCAGATTCCTAATTAGCAACCCCAGAAACCCCCTGGTAACAAGTTCCACCCCATGACAATGCGTAAATCGTTCAGTATTAATGTTTTAATTTTACTAGTGTCTTTTTGAGAGCATATTTTTTACTAGACCCATTCTAATTGTCCAAGACACGTGTGTAATTAAGGGAAAGATCCCCAATGAGTAATTATATGTAAAAACCACATTTTTAGATGCATTTTAACATGTCAAGAAAATAAGAAAATTGAGAACATCAGCGTTTTTATAAAAAACCGACCAGCGCGACCTCGAAGAAAACTTTTTTTTTTTAAATAAAAAAATACGTGTCTCTTTTTTTATCAGATATTACAATATTCTGCTGTAGCGTTTATGAATTTCCAAAAAGAGTGTTTTTATGAACCACTCTAATGCGCACTATATAATATGCTATAAAATAAAGCGGTTTCTGCACTCAATAATGTTTTCAGCCCGCCCAAGTCTCCAGCCATAACATTGGCTCCATCAGTGCCCAAACCAAGTAGGTTTTTTATTTTAAAAGGCAGGATTGGCAAATGTTTAAAAGGTACAATTGGCAAATATTTATATGCAAAATGATGTTTGAAATATGTATATATTTTATAATTAAGAATTTTAAAATTTAATTCAACTATCCGACCAAAATCTTACTTTGCCGACCAACCTAATGAAAAACAAGCGACCAAATTTGGTCGGAAAAAATCAATAGTGGCAACACTGAATACGATACTCATCCCTTCTCTATAAAGCACTTTCCTTGGCAAAAAAAGGCATACAATCAACTCAGGGAGTCCTGGGTCAACAACGCCTTCAAAATCATATCGTATTTGTTCGTAGCTGACATGAAACTATATGACATTGTCGTATGAAAAAAGGAAAGCATGGAAAAAACGAAGAGGTCAAGGAATGATTCAGAGGAAAAAGAGAACTGCATTTTTTCAAATGTTGCAGAATGGGTGGCACAAATCATCTTAAGGAAGATAAATGGATGTTAGGAAATCGCGGGGAAGTAAATTGTAGTCTTGCAAATCGTAAGGACCAGTTGGTTTTAGATATCCCGTTTGTTACGTTCCGCCCATCCATTATAACGATTCGTCTTCATTTAAAATGCATTGGATAGTTAAGTGACAGTTCACTCCGTCCCATTACTTTTATTATAACCAAGGCATAAACGGGATAGGAGGTAACATATGCTAGTTTTTTTGATTCGGGTACCACGACTCCACCGGAGATCCTTTATGCGGCAAAGTGGAAGACAATATACTTATATGTTTTTTTCGAAGCAGAAATACAAATTTTACTTATCTAAACAGTCCCCGACGCAATACTCAAACAGTATACTATTTATGTATATGGAATGGTGTCGGTGATGCAGTTGCAAAAGTGCAGCGGAAACTTCAGCAAGGTGAAGAAATAAGCAGCATCAAGGCCGTATTTAGGGGGGGCATGTAGAAATGTAGGATTTTAAGGCAATAAAAACTTGGAAAAGGCAAAATGACCCCCAGATACAGCAACTTCATCCGGCAGTACTAAAATCTACGTATTCTTAGGCGTTAGTACTTTGAGGAGAGATGCATGAGACGAGGGCTTATTGAGTATTAGTTAACGGAAACCTTATTAGCTAGTTTACATAGTTCTTATTTACCAAGTGATAACCACATATCTGGAGGACTGATCTAACAGGCTCGGTGCCTTGATATTAGATTTGTACATTGGTATGCAGACGACTCAGTTGTAATGGGAAGATGTCACACAGTCATTATTTATTTATATCCCCTTTTTTGTCAGATTATTTGTTCACCTCATAGTTAAGTATATTACACAAATCGAAGCGGCTGCAGTCTAATATATTCTGTGAGAATGGTTTGTTAATGTTTTTGGATTCAATGTTAAAAGGTCCGCGAACTCGGTGAGAAAGTGGTCAACTGTTTCTCCCAAGCCCGAGCCATTTAGAGTTTTGGCAGCATCTACTGCTAATTTTTTCGGCATGTTCACCCGCGGCCAGTATCCTGTGCAGACATATGTAATTTTATAGTATATTTTCCTGCTAATTATAACAGAGTCCTGATTTTAACTGAGTTGTAGGAATTCCACATCTGCCTGGTAATTTGATACAACGTTAAATAGCTACACCCCTGGTAAGCATTCGAGAGGGAAATTTCTGCTTTAGATTTTCCTGAAGACCTGCAGCGACTGTCATGCCCTCCAAGCACTATGTTTCTCGTGAATTCATTCACTGCGGCTGGAGAATGACGTGCTGAGTTTTTGGTTGGAAATCTTACATGTTCTCCGAGTTACTTCTGATAAAGATACTCATGTACTAACGTTCAGGGCCAAAGATGAACTCTTAGAGTTGGTTTCAGCGCTATAAAACGTTTGACCAGTAATATTTGTCTATTTGCAGCATCTAACTACTCTCAATTTCGATTCGAAGAAAATGACTCTTGTCATAAAATCAACAAAATCGATATGTAAGTAATAACATTTATTCTCGTTATTTATATGTATGTGTAACTTACTTCATTTTATTCCGGGTTAATTTTCATGATTCTGTTCGAAATATGAAAAATAGCAGATCATTGATGGTTGAAGATTCCCTGAAGCTTTTTATGTATTTCGAGAGGCAACAGCTAGCATTTATACTTGCACGTTTAGCTGATGTTTATCCGCGGTGGCTATAGAGCCCAGGAACTTAACGTTGAGCATGTATCATAGAAATTTTACTCGTATGGTTATTTATTTAATTTCGCAGTTATTCAATTTCTTTACCGCTTATCTCACATTAAAGGTCGTTCTGCACGACTGTCATTTAAATTACAGAAGACCTTAAAAATTCCAATATACGAATGCACGAACGCAATAAATATTAATTTTCGTAGTGCTTTCATTTGAACTGGAAGTAATGCAAGTGAAAAATAAAAAAATAAAGCTGAAATGAAGACAATGGCAACTGCTGCGAGAAGGTTAATATGTAACATATACTTACCATTTATATGTACGTACGAGCTTGACACAGTAACTGAGCTATTTATGTCACCACACATACTCACAAACGCACCACATATATATAAAGCATTTATCTATGCATATAAATGTATATAAGTATGTAGATATGTATGTGCTGAGGTAGAAAACGGGTCACGTTTGAATCGTTGTGTGTTCAAAATTGAATTGATTTTGGTGTAATGCCAACACCGATACCAAAGCCAACGTGTCTCTATTGAAGGGCGTTGTCGGCGACCTCGCTTAAGTTGGTGTTTTTTCATTTCCTCACACCTTATCTGCGCCACAATTTCAGTTTCAGATTTCTGCCAATATTACCAATTCTCCATCCCCGCACGGCCTTATTCATTCAGCCATTTCCGCACATTATACGTGTCAGATTAACTTAACAAGGTATTATCGACGCAGTCATGCACATACACAAACACACATAAACACATACGGGCATATGTGAAGGTAATCTCATCCATACAGTAATAGATTATACATCTACTATGTGTGCAATGAATGCCTAGGTAGACAGACAGCCAAGTGATTTTAATGTACATTCTGCAAATCAATGAAATTTGAAACGAATCAGCTAGCGTCTCATTGACTCATCGTTTCGTTGCCTTCACATTGCAGCGCCTAATCGTCTCACTGACTAGTTTAATAGGTTAGCTGAATAAGTGAGATTTCATGAATGTGGATAGGCTTATACACAGATAATACGCACATACACATACACAATCTTACATTCGCAAACGCCAACCCATGCAGGTGCTCATTCCAGGTACTAACAGCAAAAGGGGTGTAGCGAGCATTAAGTTGGGTGAAAGGATGTACATAAGTGTATCAACGGATGACGGTAGTATTACATACATTGGACGCAGCTGTGTTATGCGCATTGAATTGTCATTTTTGGATATGAATGGCATTACAACTACGCGGGTATTGTTCGTATGCTCTTTGTTGCTGTTGACGGTAATCGTTAATTGAATAGTACATCCCGTTTGAGATTAGAAATGAGTGGCACTATCAACGCATTAGGTTCTGAATTCAATGCTATGTCATTAACGCAACTGAATATCAAATAGGTAGTTATGTACATACGTATTTATGGTAAATAATCAGCCATCCAAAGTTTATATTCTGTACACTTGCAATAATGTGTTGACGTAGTACTATTAACATACATAGATAGGTATGTGGTGTCACACAGAGCACGAACTGCAAAGATGCATCGGAAGGCTTTAAGCTGCCTTCACATATATACGTATATCCAATCAAAATAAAAGGTATCATGAGAGCTATTAGAGAAAACCTCGAAAGCCTTGAAAATCTCGAAACTTTGATTGAACTGTAGCTATATCCTTTATTGCTTGACAGGGGTGACAGTGCGTATGAGTAATCAATAAAAACTAAGCAATTGCTTTTTCTTAAAATTTCAGACCGCTTACTCCATTTTTTCAAACAAATTTAAGTGAAAGGTCTGAAATTTTAAGAAAAAACAATAGCTTATTGTTTATTCATAAGGCTCAATATGTAAGGTGTGTTTGGCAAACGCTTGAACATAAGTAAATAAGGGATAGTTGGGCCCGGGTTATAGGAAAAATTTTTGGTACTGAACACATAACAGACGGTCAAAATATTTTGAAAAGCCGGCTTTATTGTACGATCTGGTTGAAATTCATAATGGATTTTAGCTTCATTAAATGAAACTCTTCTGCAAAAGTTGAACTCAATAGATAGATGGCGCTGGAGTCAGCATATTTAGAAACGGAGTATTTATGGTTTGTTTTGGCTTTATTTTTATGATATAAGAATTTAACTTTTATATGGTTAAATGAAGTATGGGGTTAAGTATGCATACAAAGAGTACGAAATTGTGTAAGCGCGCCTTCGTCTGACGTCCGCATACACCATATATATCCTTGCAATATCTCCGCTGAAATTGCTTTAAACAACTGTTGTTGTAGCAGTAAGACTCATAGAAGTCAGTTTATGGATCAAGAGAATCTGTGGTCCATTAGATATCGTAGGCTCATCAACGGGTCACAGGTGTATCAAAAATAATAATTTCCATTCAAGACGTAGCACACAATCTCACTCAAGGAGCTAGAGAGAACAAACGAGTGGTTTTCTTTTGTTTCAGACAGGCAGCTCCAAAAGCTTTACACTCACACATACATAGACTGAATTCCGTTCATCGTTGATTGAGATTGCCAAGATTTATAGAATATTCAAAAAATTCGGACGCCGCAACTATTGTAGACCTGAGCGATAAAGCGGGCATAAAGATAAAGCAATTGCTCAAATTTGCCAACTTCAGAAAAAGTGAACACGGTGGCACAGAGAAGAAACTTAACTTTTCCTTGAGATGTGAGAATAATAATGACGGCTAGAATTCTGAGATTTGCCTGTTTAAACGGGGTGATTAACAAACGATCTTTGATTGAGATTATGTATATTTAACCGACTTCCAAAAAAGGAGGAGGTTATGAGTTCGTCAGAATATTTTTTTTATTTTTTTTTTATGTATGTTACCGCATAACTTTGGACCACGTCAACCGATTTTTGCATCGGAAAAGTAGTGTCTCAGAGGTGATCTCATACTAATCTGGTTAAGATCGGGTCGGTGGATCATGAGATATATATATATATCTTTTTTATATGAGAGTTGAAGTCGGTTTTTTTTTTGCTAAAAATTACTTGATTATTTTCTATTTTTCTTTGCGGATATATCGAGCCCTAACCGCCAAAATAACGTAAGCGACATTTTTTTCAAAATTTTCTTTTAGATGCGGAAATATTCCTAGAGAATCTAGATACATTTCTGCATCAAAAGGAAAATTTTGAGAAAAATGTCGATTACGTTATTTTGGCGGCTAGGGCTCGATATGTTCTCGAATTGTTAGTTTGTTTAAAACAAAAATATATGTCGCTCTCATTTTTACCTTGCGTTTTATAGAGCTTCTTCTTCAGTTAGTGTTAAACGTAATTATACAAAAAGACATTCAGTTTTAAATCGACACCAAAAATCAGGTACCTTTTATGAGAAGCCTTTTCTAGGCATACATTTGGAAGTTTGCCTTAGTTTGCCGAGTGGAGACAACTCGGATTAGGAATCAAACCGGGTAGAAGTACTCATATGTTACTTTAAAGCCCATTATTTTTGAAGTATCAAAGAAAACATGTTTTTTGAGATTTTCAAAAATTTTACTTTTCGACTTATCAAATTTGTGTAACAAGGTAAAATGTTGCCCGGAGTGCATATACTTTGTAAAGTTTTCAATACATTTGGATTTCGATATCCTTTAATTTAGGTGGCAACCCTATACATACCCTTTACATATCTTAACCATACATTCGTAAGTGTATATGTACTGTGTATACATAATAAATTTGAAATTAGCAAAATAAAAATTCGTATTACATAGAAGCGTGGCAACCCTAATGGAAAATAATTTTTGACCCAAGTTCTCAATAATACTTTTCATTTGATATCTATATTGCGATGTTTTAGATATATTGTGTAGAATCGAATTAAGTTGCAAACTTACACTGTTATCCCAAGGGATAATATTTTGTATATAGGGAAAGCATTGTTTAAGAATCTTCCCTTGGTCCCCATTAAAAGTAAAATTTAACCTTTTTTTCTAAACAAAAAATTAAATAAATATGCGATTCAAAATCTGTGGCAACCCTATTAAGAAATTTTTTGAACTACGAATCTTTAAAATACCTTTCATTTGATACCATATTATGATGTTTTAATTAATTTGTAACAAACTTCGAATAGGTGGCAACTTTATACGAGTCTTCTCGGAGATAGTGCCTATTCAGGTAACCTAAAAAATCCAAAATATTATCTGTGTAAAAAATTTCATCAGAGCCGTTTCCAAGAACGCTATGGTTATCTATATATACATATATATGTATACATATATACAGGAATTGCTAAATAAGATACACAGCTCTTTTGCGTCATAATTACTAAAAACAAAACTTCAAAACGTGTATGTGTAATTCAACGATTTCCGTATGCTGCATGGTGAAGAAATTTATTGTTTACCTCATGAAGCTAAATATTGAATACCATTAGGTCTTCTCCATTAACTTTAAGTGCAAGTTCATAAACGGACATATGCCCTCAAATAAACTGCATGATTTTCATGCTTTATTTTTTAAATTATTTTTAATTCTTGTTTTTTTTTTTATGAAGGAAACCAAACCATATATTCCAGCAGCACAGACATTTCTGACTGCACTTCATTACTTTCATGATTTCTTTCCACTTAGCTGCTGAAATCTATTTAATAGCACGTTTGCGGCAACGCAGCACAAAACGGCATAAAGTAAGTCACATACCCTGCAGTAAATTCAATTGTGTCCATCCCACAGACGCCGTTATGTTGATTAGCACTTCAATGGCGATTTTGTATGCATTGAAAAACAATTCTCTAATAATTATATAAAATTCATCGGAGTGTTAATGTTTCCTTGTTATTATATTATTCTTCTTCTTCTTGTCTGACACTGTAACCGCCTAAGCCTTTTTGGGCCGACTCCAACGAAATATGCCAGTCGTTTCCCTTCTGTGCCAACTGATGCCAATTGGAAATGCCAAGTTCTTCTCTACCTGCTCTTTCCAACACAAACGAGACCAACCTCTACCTGAAAATCTTTCTCCAGAAAACTTCAAATGTTGGCATTGTCTATGGCTCCGCGGGTGTGATTTTTGTACAACGACAGAGGACTTTACTTCTCAATTGCCTACTCAGTCGAAAGTAGCACTTGTTGGCAAGAGTGATTCTCCGTTGGATTTCAAGGCTGACATTATTATGGGTTTTAAAGCTGGTTCCTAAATAAACGAAGTTGTCCACATTTCTAAGTGTGTAACCGTCAGCCGTGACGTTGAAACCGAGACGCTAATGCCCTGACTGTTTATCCGATGATTGGATATATTTCGTTTTGTCCTCGTTCACGGCCAGATAAATGCGCTTTGCTTCTCTATATAATTACGAGCAGACACCACCAATGATGACCGCGAGCGGTTAAGTTATGCGGTTATTGTCCAACATATAAATAACGAAATCACTCGAAAGAAGTCACTATGTCTGAAAACTCGTTTGGTATCAAACGGCTTGCAGATATCCTTTACACAGCCGCATTAGTTTGGCAGAGATACCAAATTCAGATATCGCGACATAAAGGCAACTTCTTTTCGTTTTTCCGAAAACGGCTTTCAAATCGACAAATAGATGGTTGGTGTCGGTCCTATTCTCGCGAGACTTTTCCTGGTCTATGGTGGATTCGAAAGGTATAAAGACAGACTGAAAAAACCAATCACTTCCGTGATGGTGGACTCCAGTATTTCACATAAAACGCTCGATGAAACTTTTAACCGAGGCTAAGATGGCCACCTTTTTGTGGAATGGTCATCTGACTAGAAGTGTGTCTTCGGTCTATCACAACATGATCGTTTTAGTTTCTCGATTTCCCATCTGAAGATAGCCATGTAGCTTTATGGATACCTTTATGCTTGAACCTAATAGATATTGCATACCAACATTTGGGGCCCCGGTGAAGTCGATCAGCCTTATTTTGATATCGGACGTTTTGTCGTGAAGGCTGAGTTTTCCGAAAGTGGCGCCAAAATTCCTTTCCTTGCCTACCTTGGCATTGAAATCGCCAAGCATGATTTTGATATCCTTAAGGGGACAGATCCTTGAGAGCTCGTCCGTCGAAGCGTGGGCGCAGATGAACGAGATGTTGAAGTATGTCGCTTTAATGCGGGTTGCGGCTAGATGCTCGTCCCCGGGGTGAACGAGAGTACTCGGCGACGGAGTCTCTCCCGCCACAAATCAAAAACCGAATTTTCGCTCGTCAATTTTTATTGTGGCGTATTGATATTTATTTCAATAGTGTTATTGAGCTTTGTACCACGATTTGTTTGTTAGGAAAAATGAAAAAACGCTCTTTTACATGGCAGCAGTAGTGGATATCGCAAGGACCTAAGCTTTCCTTGCTTTGCCCTTTCCATCGCGTATCAGCTTTTGTCTTTCAAGGAAATCAACCAGCCGGGAAGATCCATCTTCCTCATTAAGTACCCGGATATTATAGGTGATTACCCTTAAATGTTAGTCCTTTATACATTTGGCGTGGTCGTCATCAAAAGAAGGCGGTTTGGCAGAGGCTTGTTTGTTACTTTCAATGGGAGGGGTGTTTTAAATAGAGGGACCTAAACCCAGCGCTCGCGAGGCTTTTCGCCTTCCCACTTTAACTCGCTCTGAATTGGGTGTGTGGTCACGTGGGCTAAATAAACGATTTTTTTTTTGTGGCCGGAAATTAAAGACAAGGACTTGGACGATCTTTGGTTTTAAGGCGATTGCGAGCAATACCACTCAAGTTCGGTAATCGTGTTGTCAGCCGTATCGGCGAAGTCAATTGGCCACCTCAAAGCTTTGATTCGACGCCGTTAAACATTTTTGGTTGTTTGCCGTGAAAGACCGATTTCATGCGATCAATGTTTTAACGATTAAGGCCCTAAAATGAATATGGAGCGAGCCTTTCGTGAGGTGAAACCATAGACCGTCCCGAAAGATCTTTAAAAACTGAGTCAGCTACTTGAATGAAATCGTGTTCCATTAATAATGGTAATGTTTGCTTCATTGCTTATTCAATTAAAAAAAAAAACATTGAATGGACCACCCTGTATATGTATGAAAAAATAACAAAGACACCCTAATTTACAAACACGCATAACTAAGAACTGCCACTGGCCTTTTGCGTTCAAAATACAAGCCACAGTTAATGGAATATCTTTCGAAACGTAAACATATTTTGCAGGACTCCTTTAATATGCTTCCTTCGTACATTCTTTAAGCAGGCTCTTAGGGTTTTGCTAGATCGAACATGATAATAAATAATGTGGAAAACTGTGACATTAAATGAAATCTGTCGACAAAAAGTTGGTATACACATACATGTGTGATCACGGTTGCCAACCGTCCCATTTTCGGCGAGACTGTCCCGGATTTTATAGCTATGTCCCGGTCCCGGTAAAATATATGCCGGGACGCAAAATGTTCCGGTTTTTGGGAAGAAATAATTATAGACATCTCATTAAGGAAAAATCCGTGTCAAAATTAAAAACGCATTATCATTTCAATTGTAGTTATTTTTTTTTTTTAAGATATGGTTTACTCTTTAACAACAGTCGTATAAATCTAAGTTTCAAACATTGTGCAATATTTAGAAAAAAATTAGCAAACTTTTGTAAAAATTTAAGTCTTTTTAGATGGATTTCTTAGAAAGATTTTGAGTATAGAGTTTCATGGTACATTCAATTTTATTAAAATAAAATGCAATTAGCTAAGATTTACCGTCGATTTTTATAATTTTTTGTTGAAAAAAAGTCATTTTTGTATGGAAGAGGTGCTGTTAGTAAAAAAATTGGCAAAAATCAATGGTAAGTCCTAGACGCATTCATATCAAGTTTTTGTTGGTAAAATACAAAAACCGTTTCTTTTTAATGTTTGTTAAACTTTTAAGTTAAAAATTAACAAAACGGATGTAATTCTTTACCTAAAGGTGAAAACGTGCCAAGTCCACTTCATTAAAAACTTAGTTTTTGATGCAGAATGACAGATAATGCGAAACTATATCGATTTTCCGTCTCTCGTGAACAACTTCAAAACATGGACTTGGCACATTTTCACCTTTGGGTAACGATTTGCCTTTTAAAAATGGTTTATACAAGAAAGGAAATGTAAGAAACTTAAATACAAACATTTTAAATGCAAAATTTTTAAGAAAAGGTTAAAAAAAATAATATTGTTAAAAGGTAATTTTTTCATTTAATAATGCGCTGGCTCGAAACTCATTTCCGAGCCATGGTTTCTTCTACACTATCTCCTAGAATTATCCGCAGAATCAGGAAATACCATGCTATTTAATAAAATAAACATTGGCCCAGCCTAATGTACATACATTCATATACATATGTATATTTTACATATGCTATTTAATCGACAATAAAGTCAAAAATTTTAGTTACGAATTCATTTTAAACAAAGAATTCAAGCCGTGGCTGCTTAAACAAAATGAGTACACAAAGTATGTTCGACATTTTTTTGTTTGGAAGAAACTGCCAAAAATCAACGCCATTTTTTACCAACTTCAAACTGGCACTTAGTTATACAACAGTGTCAACTTGTAGGCAAATTTATTGTATTTTCCTGAGTTTTGCACGAAGTTTAGATACATTTTTATGTTTTTGTTGTAGTATGAATTATGTTTTTATAAAAAATTCCAGAAAAAATTTAAGTAAAAAAATTACATATGGGCATTCCCATGGTGGCGCACGTGACAGTCGTACGATTTCAATGTGATACAAAAAAGGAATACCATTTGTTTTCTTTAACTTTTTTGGGCCATTGTATAGCACATAATTAGCTCTATATTTAACCGAAAAATGAAATCAATCGAACTGCTTGGTCCTGAAATATAAGCATTTAAAGAGAGTGTCGTTACGTGACAAAAAATGGAAGTTGATTTTTTCTTTTCTTACAAAATCGCAAAACTCTGCGAATTGTGGATGGCTATTTTTATGAAACTTATTTTAATATGATTAGGAACAATTGTAGTTGTTTTTAGAGTTTTTTGAATTATTTCAAATTGTTTCAATTCTCTTTTACAACCCCAAGTGTGAAACGTGACGTGACGTGGCGTCACGTGACATAAATTTCCATCGTTATATTTTTGTTAATATTGCTTTTAAATGAATTTTTAACGCAAATAAAACATGTATTTTATGTAGAATATACTTTATATTTTGACTTCAGCGCCAATTCAGGGTCAATTCATTGGAAATCTATGATTTATTATGTTTCAACCACATACGCCAAATTCGAACCAAATCGGACCATAAATACGGTTTTTCGAAATATCTCTACCTTGGCACCACCTAGGAAGACCATTTTATGCAAACATGATTCTAGTTACATAGCCAGTATATATTTTAAAAAGCAGACAAATCGGCCCGTAAATACGTTAGATATAAAACTTTTATTTTTTTTTGTCGTGGTGGACCTTCCGCTGAAAACACCGATATGTACATTGTGAAAAATTCCCCGTGCCAAATACATACATATGTATCTATATAGAAATTTATAATTTATAATTTGGTGTCATTTTTATTTTAACTTTAATTTATGTTCTAAATTATTTAAAAGTATTAGCATTAAAATTTTGTATTATGGAAATTTTTATCTATATTTTTTTATTTTTTGTTTGTTTTGTTTTTTATGTTTTCTTATTTTAAATAGAAAATATTCAAAAATACAGCATTGAAGTCGATGTCCCGGTTTCAATAATGCAACCGTGTGTGTGATGCGCGTTCAATTGTTTTCCGCCAAGATTACTGCAATTAGCCTATGTAAACTTGTTTCGATAGAGAAAGATTTTTCAAATTTTAACAATTCTCGAAAAATTTATAGTAGAACATATAAAAGCATACGACTTAATGAATTTTAATTTACTCTTTCTATTATATATAAGTTCTATAAGAAACAAGATGAACGCTTATCTTCAAAATATAAATATGTACAAAACTTCAAATAAAGTGACTGCTCCAATTGCACTTCTTAAGGGTAAGTGTTGAAAGTGGTTTTAAAAACCGCAACTTCTTAGCTCTTCCTACAGGTTCCTTCCACATGTGATTATGTATTTATATTTGTGCTTAAATATATGGGCGTATATGTATGTATATAGAATTACGTGCACATGTATGTATGTACGCCTTTTATTCTTATGACTTCTCGACACAGGTGTCGCTTATTATTGTAGTACATAGAGTGCTGCATTAAGAACGAATATGTGAAGTGGATTTGAAAGTAAATGCTAGATTCTATGGAGGTGTTCGTGTTAGCCGGTGTTCACATTAGCTTGCACTAGTGTGTCTGCCAGCAGCTAATAAAAATGTTGAATAATTCAGCCAGAAATTTTTGCATACGAACTTTTTTATTTTCGGAACTCAGTACGTTAAAATCCTTTGGGATAAAACACAAGCACACACACACACACATACGCACATTCACAAATGCAAGGTTACACGAAATGCAGGAAGCCATCGAAATAAAGAAGGTGGGTTAGTATGTCTATGCTTTTCGGGTTATATGTATGTAGGTAAATAAACACAAGTATGTACATATGTATGTGTGTATGTACAAGTCAATATACTTGTTAGTAAAACACATATGCTCCATATGAAACTTACTGCAAACCATAAAGGAAACACTCCAAAAACAAGGACACAAAATGGTAAAATGCGCAAAATTCGACAAAGGATTCAACGAAAAGCGTAAAGCTTAAATTTGCTGCTTCACTCGCATCCGTTCACAGCAAAATTTGCAGCGTTTTGTTTATTTTTTCATTCTCAGCGATATTTTGCACATTTTCGAGAACAAACAAAGCGTTGCTTAGCTGCGCAGGCACCAGCGTCTATAGCCGCTGCAAAGTGCCCCCGCTGGCTGCTTTGCAGTCGGCTTTGAGGCAGACATATAGATTGTATGTATGTATGTACATACGTAGTACAGTATACAGTGACTAAAATAAATGACCATGTGTTGATTTTTTTAAAATATTCGTAATGTTTTTCAAGCTAATTTTGTTTGCTATTTTTCTATAAAAATTCTGTCTAAGCTTAAACCAAAACCATATAAACCATAGT